CGCCCAGCCCCTCCCCTCCTGTCTCGGTTTCTCCCCCTCCACCTCTCCCCTCCGTCTCGGCGAGCCTGCCTCCAGCTGGACCGGACTCACCCAGGTCGCAGAAGCGTCCCGCATAGCCCTCGGGACAACTGCACAGACGGTGACCCTCCGCCTCGAGGCAGCGGCCGCCGTGGAGGCATGGGTTGTTGCTGCAGACTGAGAGGAGGAGGCCTTGAGCCACCTCTGGGCCCCAAGACCCCACAGAGAGCTCTCCCCCTTCCGGCAGCACACCACCTGACCTTCAGCCAGCTTCTCCTCCCTCCTCCCGGCCAGCTCCCGACCATTCACTCACCCCGGCTGGCCAGGGGCTTGCAGTGGGCTTGGGGGCCTTGGCACTGGCACTTGGCCATGCCTGCCGGCTCAAGCCTATGCCATGTTTCATTCTCGTGGAAGAACTGGAGAAGCTGGGGCTCGAAGCACTTCTCTGAGGGACAAAGTGGTGTTCTGGTCTCAGACAGACTGGGGCCATGCCAGTCTCTGAGGGTCCTGGGACCTGTTCAGGCAGGGCTGCTCCTGTTCCCCAGCCCCCGCCCACCCCACCCCAGCATCCCTTACCTCTCTGGCAGTGCTTCCCCGTGAAGTGTTCTGGACAGATGCAGCGAGGGCCGTCTGGCATGTTCACACAGGTGCCGCCCCGCTGGCAGGGGTTGTGTGTGCTGCAGTGGTCTGAGAGATGGGCACAGTGGGAGGAAGAGGGGAGCCTGAGTCAGACCATAGGAGCCAAGTCCATGCCTGAACCTGCGTGTCTTGTCTTTTGGCCTTGTTTCCAGGCCTTCGTTTACCCCCATGCAAAATGGGGCTACCCCCTCCCAGAACTTCTCCCTCTGGAGGGAGGGCCCAGAATCCCAGGTGTGTAGGGTCTGATGAGACTCAGAAAATAATGAGGGGGGAGGGGAGGGCCTGGGGCCACCCCAGAGGCTGTGTGTGGCACCTTGCACTTTCTGGGGCTTCAGGCAGTATGCCCATCGTTGGTCCTGGTCAAAGTTGGGGGTAGTAGCACACCTGGAGAAAGAGATAAGGCTCCCTGCTCTGCCCAGGCCCACCCTCCCTATCACAGCCCCTCTCTCCAAGCAGGGTTCCTTGGGTAGATGCAGGGCAGAGGCCATCTCCCAGGCCCCTGCCCCAACCCCTTCTGGGTCATCTTACCAGGCCCGGAAGCCAATTCGGCCCCTGCGGGTGCACTGGTGATACAGCTGCCGGCGGTACTGGAAAGGGAAGTAGCAGGGCTCCCCAGTGACAGTGAGAACTGCAGAGAGAACACATGCTCTAATGACATTCCCTGTGCCAATCTCCCAGGCACCATGCTCAGGGTCTAGTTGGAAAGAATAGACCCCCAAAAAGATCACTGTGCTGCCAGTCCCTCTGGTATGACTCAGTTGAGCATAGACCCAGGAACCAGGAGGTCAGGGTTAGATTCCTGGTCAGGGCACATGCCCGATTACAGGCTCAATCCCCAGCAGAGAGCATGCAGGAGGCAGTCAACCAATGATTCTCTCCCATTATTGATGTTTCTATCTCTCTCCCCCTCTCCCTTCCTCTCTCTGAAACCTTTCACACACACACACACACAAAATCGCTATGCCTTCAATTTTCCTGCTTAAGAAGTTGGGTCCAAGCGTTAGACAGCTGGAGTGGTCTCAGACTCCAGCACCTACTAGGTGTATGACCTTGTGCAAGTCTGCAGCTCCCCCCGTCCCGCGTGCACACACACGTTAGAAGAGGGTTTGCCACAAAGGAAGGGCTTTATCAATGCTTGTTGAATGTTGAAGTCACTTGACCACTCTGAGCCTCAGTTTCCTCATCTGTAAGATGGCAATAATAATAGTACAGTCAAAGCGTTTTCGTTTTGCAAGATGAAGAGTTCTGGAGACAGGTGGTGCTGATGGTTGCACAATATGAATGTACTTAATACCACTGAATTGTACACTTAAAAATGGTTAAGATAGTAAATTTTATGTTATGTGTACTTTACAACAATAAACAATTTAAATGATGGTGTAGATATATTAGTACAGAAAGGTGTTCATAATTTGTTTATTTATTTTTATTATTTTTTAAATATATCTTTATTGATTTCAGAGAGGAAGGGAAAGGGAGAGATATAAACATCAATGATGAGAGAGAATCATTGATTGTCATGCCCTCCACTGGGGATTGAGCCCACAACCCCGGGCATGTGTCCTGACTGAGAATCAAACCATGACCTCCTGGTTCATAGGTCAAAGCTCAACCACTGAGCCACTCCAGTCAGGCATTTTTATTATATTTTTAAATCTTTATCTGAGGACATGCTTAGAGAGAGAGAGAAAGAGAGAGAGAGAGAGAGAGCGAGAGAGAGAGATTGACATTGATGTGAGAGAGAAATATCAATCAGTTGCCTTCCATATGCTTCCCAACTGGGGATTAAACCTGCAACCCAGGTATGTGCCCTGGCCAGGAATCAAAACGGCAACTTTTTGGTACATGGGATGACACTCAACCAACTGAGCCACTCCATCTGGGAGGGTGTTCTTATTTAAATGAAGAATACCAAGTTACAAACAGCATGTTGGTATGGTTTTATCTTTGTACAAATACATTTATGCATAAAAAAAAATCTAGAAGGACATTCTCAAAATTTGCAAGAGTGGTTTTTGGAAGAGTGTGGCTTATGACGGACTTTTTTCTTCTTTTGTATTTTTGTATTTTCTGAAGTTTTGACAATAAAAATATATTGCTATTATAATTTCTAAAAATAGTATAGCCAAGCCTCATCATTCACAGATTCTGTATTTGCAAATCTGCCTTCTTGCTAAAATTTATTTGTAAACCCCAAATCAGTTCTCAAGGGGCTTTCACAGTCATGCACAGACATGCACAGAGTGGTGAAAATTTAAATTATTGGAAGTCATAAGTGCACATCCCCACCTGAGGTCAACCCAGGTTGTGACACTGCTTCTTGCTTCAACTCTCCTGTTGTAAGCAAGTGTCCTTTTCATAGTTGATTTAGTGCCACATTTTTCACATTTTGTGCTTTTGTTGTTGAACATGGCCCCCATAGTGCTGAAGTGCTGCGTTCCAGTGTGCACGTGGGCTGGGCTGTGTCTCATGGAGAATACATGTATCTTAGATAAGTTTCATCCAGGCATGAGTTACTGCCATTGGCTGTGGGTTCAATGTTAATGAATCAACAATACACATTAAGCCAGGCGTCTTTAAACAGAATCCCACATAAAACAAGGTTTATATATTGACAGTTGATGAAAACTTTGTGACCAGAGGCACACAGGAACCCAACTCTATATTTCCTCTAGGAACAATGGTTCAGTATTTGTGAATTCAGTGTTCACGCTGACTAACAAAACAAAACAAGAATTGACTGTATCTATTTTAGGGGAACACTGTGAAGTTTAAATGAGTTAGTGCCTGTAAAACACTTAGCACAGCCTGGCATATAGTACCTGCTCAATAAGCATTAGCTGTTATTTTGTTGTTAAAGGCACAGTGGCTCTTGCTGAAAACCAAACCAGTGACAGGACAGTAAAAGAAGAGAGAAGGGTCTGAGATGGACTTTTAAGAGGCAAATGGGATGAACAGAGAGGAGGAGCATCCTAAGTAGGTGATGAGGCAAGGGCAGATCACCTAGTTGGACTAGGCAAGTTTGGATGTCTGTGGAGTGATGAGGAAAGGAGGCTGAGGCAGACAGGGTTGTATGAGCTAGTCCTCAGTGCCACGCTAAGGGGCTAGGCCTGACCCCACAGGCCAGGCTCACCAGGGCAGGGGCCATCAGTTCACAACTCCAGGTGAATATGTAGTGCCTGGAAGAATGGAGGCAATGGGGAGCTCTGGTTGGGTTTGAGGAGGGGGGAGATGGCAGACATCCCCACCTAAAAGAGAGCTTAATTAGAAAAGCTAGTATATTTTAAGCATTGACCATGCACCTGACCGTGAGCTGAGTACTTTCCCATGGATTTATGACTCGTTTCTCCTTCCCAAGACCCCTAAGATGTTTACTATAACCGAGAGGTCGAGTCACTTGCTCAGAGGCATTTGGGCTCCAGACGCCTGCTCTTGATCCTTCCTCGCCTATCAAGGCCTCTGGCCTCTGTGTGGCATGGCTGATGCCTGTGAGATGTATCGAGAAAAGGAAAAGAATGAAGGAGCATGGGGAAACAGAAAACTGGCAGGTGCTGGACTGGGCACTCAGAAACAGCCCTACACTCAAGGAGCAGTCAGCTACTAGCATTCTGGGCCCCTAGAGCCCATCAGCATAGACTTGGCACACAGCAGGCACTCAGGTCTGAATGCCAGCCAGGTGACTCTGGGGACAAGAGTAACAGTTGTGCCCAGGATCCTGCCTCTGGTTCCAAGGGCCTGAGACAGACCCAATCACACTCATTCCCACCCAAGGGTCTTTTCGGAGGCAGACCCAGGCTACTTACCCACTGTGTGTTCATCTTCTACCGGCTTAGGCACCTTGAGGTCTTTCCAACGTGGGGTCTACAGGAGGAGAGAAGAGGACGGGGAATTTGCCCTGGAAGTCATAGCCTGCCCCTGATCCCATGCTAGTCCCCAGCTTCTTCTCACAGCCCAGAGAAACAGAGCTTTCCTCACAAGACCCAGGCCCCTTCTCCTCCTCCCTCCTCAGGGACCCTCTCCTCCAGAAACGCAGATCACCCCCTCGTATCCACAGGCTCTGGTGTCTCTCTCCTCCTCCTGGGCCTTCTGGGCTGACCTCACCTTTCCACACTGGCCTTCGGTCACCTGGACCAAGAGGTCACAGGCAGAGGCCAAGCTTGTGACAGGGACCCCCAGGGCCACCCAGCACAGTCCTCCTGGTTCCCACAGCCCTCACCGGAAGCGCTGATTCCAGGCTCACCACCAGGGACCCCAGGAGCAGCAGAGCCCTCATGGCGTCTGTCCGTCGGTCCACCTGCCTACGCAGGAGTCCAGATCAATAGAGTTGGCCAAAGGTCTCTGAGGCCTGGGAAGTGGAGATACATTGAGCTGCCTGGTGGGGCACAGGCTGTTTGTGGAAAGCCAAAGGCAGGAAGTTGGCAGTTGGGGGGTTGGGGTAGAACGACGAAGACCTGGGTTCCTTCTCTCTTTCCCAGATAGTGGGACTGGAAGCAGGAAGAGAGACTTCTTGTGTTCTGGGGATGAAGAGGTTAAGGAGACCCGAGACAAGCTCCCTACTATCAGGATTGCACAGTCCATTGGGAAGTGTATTCATCTTTTATTGCTGCCTAAATGGAACCATAAACTTCACAACTTAAAACAATAGCCATCTATTAGTTCACAAATTTGTAGGTTGACAGTCCAGCACGATGCAACTAGTTTTTCTGCTCAGGGTCTCACAAAAATGACACCAAGGCTGAGTTCTCTGGAGGCAAACCCACTCCCACGCTATTCACATTGTTGGCAAAATTCAGTTCCTTGCATTTGTAGGACTGAGGTCACTGTTTCTTTGCAGGCTGTAAGCCAGGGCCCACCCTTAGCTCCTAGAAGCTGCCTGAAATTCTGACCACATGGCCCTCTCCCACTTCCCAAGCCAGCAGCAAAGTCTCCCTGGTGTTGACTTTCGTGAATTGAATCTCCTTTACCAGGAAGAATGCTGTTCCTCCTAAGGGCTCACCTGGTTAGTATAATATCCCTATCTTAAAGTCAACTGATTTGGGACCTTAGTTACATTTGCAGCATTCTTCCACAGAAGCATCTAGATTAGGGTTTGATTGAATAACTGGGAGAAGGTAAGCATATACCTTGGGGGCCATCTTAGAATTCTACCAACCACAGAAATTGGAGCAATTGAGCACAAAGGAGGGAGATGGGTGGACATATGTTGTTTTTCCTGCCCTGGCACCCTGATTTATTTTATTTTATTTGGGGGGAACCACTCCTCCTTTATTCTCTCATGGGTCCCGAGTGCTGCCAACTCTACTATCCATTCTAGGGCTGGGGGTGTGGCCTCGGTCTGACCAATAAGAACAGGGTATCTGTGGACCTCAGTGATTGGTTCAGGGAGAAGCATAGACACAAGTTTGTCCCATCAGAGTCAACCTTGGGACTTTCTCACCAAAACTTTTGGGAAAGGGGCACTTTCTTCCCACTAGAGTCCCTAAGAATGGGAGCCTGGAGATGTTGATGGCCACCTTTGTCTCTGTTTGGGGAAGGCCTGCCTGAGAATGAAGCCTACACATAGTTGAAAAGCAGAGCAAACTAAGAAGGAATGAGCAGGTGCAATGTGGGAGGCGTCTCCAAGATGGTCCCCAGTGATCACCTCCTGAAATCCATGCCCTTGTGCATAATCTTTTCCCACAGTGAGTCAGAGCTGTTCTGTGGGTCCAGTAGAATATGGCAGAAGTGATGGTGTTTGACTTCCAAGCCCAGGTCATAAAAGGCATTGCAGTTTCTGCCATGGTCTCTTGGATCATTCACTCTAGGGGAAGCCAGCTGCCCGCTTGGAGGACACTCAAGCGGCCCTAGGGAGAGGCATGTGTGGGGAGAAAGTACCAATTTGACCGCCTTGTGAAGGGGCTATGCTGTAAGTGGATACTGCAGCCCCAACCAACGTATCGCCTGCAGCCTCATGAGTGACCTCAAGCCAGAACCATCCAGTTAAGCTGCAGCTAAATTTTACATTTATTAAGGTATAATTAACATCCCTCATAAAAAGAAGATGCACTCTCCACCATAAAAACCCTTAGCTTTTCTTCCCCCAAAGAAAAGATGCCCAGGCTCAAAAATAATTCTTTCTTGCCCTAGCTGGTTTAGCTTAGTGGATGGAGCGTCAGCCTATCCACTGAAGGGTCCCAGGTTTGACTCCAGTCAAGGGCACATGCCTGGGTTGTGGGCTTGGTCCCCAGTAGGGGGCGTGCAAGAGGCAGCCATTCAATGATTCTCTCTCATCATTGATGTTTCTATCTCCCTCTCCCTTCTTCTCTGAATTCAATTTTTTAAAAAAATATTTTTTAAAGGAGCTTAGTACCTATGTTTAAATTTTTTTTCTTTTCTTTCACTGATAGCTCCCTTGCCCCAGCCTCCTTCCTATAAAATTCTTCTATGTTGTACAACCCCATTGGAGCATACTTCTAGTTGCTAGATGGGATGCTGCTCAATTCATAAATTGCTTAATAAAGCTAATTAGATCTTCAAATTAATTCTATCGAATTTTGGTTTTTGGTTTTTAAAAAATAGACCTAAACTTGGCCAGTGGGTGCTGCTGTCTCCAAGGACTCTGAATCCTGAGGAGGCCACATGGGATGATGAGAAGAGTTGCGGGTCTAGCACTGTACCGCCTGTGCCCTGGCCAGATTGTCCCTGCTACAAGGCCTGTCAGGATGCCTTTGAAAAACCAGCTTAGGAAGCAGTGAGGACATTCACATTCCTCATTTCACATCACACGAGATCTGAGGAGAGAGGCCCCAGGAACACTGCTTTCAGTGACTTCACAGTGTCATCAAGAACCCAAGATTGATTTATTTTCTTTCTTTCTTTCTCTTTTCTTTCTTTCTTTCTTTCTTTCTTTCTTTCTTTCTTTCTTTCTTTCTTTTGTTAATCCTCACCCAAGGATATTTTTTCCCACTGATTTTTAGAAAGAGTAGAAGGAAGTGGGGGAGGGGAGGAGGAAAACATTGATGTGAGAGAGACACGTCGATTGGTTGCCTCCCTCACATGCCCTGACCTGGGCTGGGGATTGAACCTGCAGCCCAGGTACAAGCCCTTGACCCAGAATTGAACCCTTGACCCTTTCAGTGCATGGGCGGATGCTCTAACCACTGAGCAACAACAGCCAGGGCTCTTCTTTTTTTCTTTTCTATGGCGGTTGGTGTACAGAAACCATGTAAACTCCAGTAAGAAGAAACTTCCCTTCCAGTAAATCCTGAGAAAATGAGGAAACCTTCCTCACAAAAATGCCAAGCAGGCCTCCCCTCATGGCTCATTGGCCAGAACTGGGCCACCTGACACCCCTAAATCAATCTCTGGTAAGCGTAGGAGATCTTCATAATTGGCTCAGACCAGGGGTTTCTACCTTTTTCATCTCATGGTGCACATAAACTAATCACTAATGTTCTCTGGCACACCAAAAAATATATTTGTTGCCAATGTGACAAAAAAAAAACAGGTATAATTTAATTCATTCACACCAGATAGCTATTGTGCTGGCTGTCGACTTTTTTTTTTTTTTTTTTTACAATCTAGGGAAGAGGTCAGTGCCCTGTAAACAGCCAGGTATTGCATGCTTTAAAAATTCTTGCAGCACACAGGTTGCAAATCGCTGACTTTAGTTAAACATGACTATGTCATGAAGCCTCCACAAAAACCCCAAAGGACAGCTCATTGGCCCTTTTTAGAAGAGCTGCCATGTGGTGGAACCACGCTCCATGCAGACAGACACTCCCTGTTCCGGACTTCAGCCTCCGTCTCCCTTCACCTGGCTGGTGATTTGTGCCCTCTGATATCCTTTGTAATGAATTGGTAATCTAGTGAGTAAGGGAGTTTTCCTGAGTCCTGTGAGCCATTCTAGCAAATGAGTCAAACCTAAGGAGAGGAACCTCTGATTTATTTATAGCCCGTTGGTCGGAAGCACAGATAATAGTCTGGACCGTGACTGGCATTTGAAGCGGAGGGCAGTCCTTCGGGGCTGAGCCCTTTACCTGTGGAACCTGGTGTCTGGTAACTGCTTGGTGTGGGGAAGCCTCCCTGCACACACATTGGAATTGAGTCCAGGGGCCCTGTTAGCGCTCAGTGTTCCTTCCCCTCCTCCCCAACGTGGATACAACAAAAGACGGTCCCATCCTCAGCTGGGAGTGGAATGGGCACGTGACCCAGGCCTAACCAATCAGAACACTGCCTCGCTCTGTCCTCGGAGATTGGTTCCAAATGAACACCTGACTCAAAGCAAACCACTGAGAGGCAAGCCCTGGGTTTTTGCTGGAATCAAGATAGAGGCTTTCTCTTTTTGTAAAAGTTGCCACATTGGTGAGAAGTGAGCTTGGCGCTGCTGGCAGCCATTTTTCACACCTCAGAGGGAAAACCTGGCCGACAGTACAGACAGCACAGGTTAAGGAATAAAGAAGACAGACAAGAGAATACAGCTGGGGCTCGGTGGGATGCTGCTTCTATGATGGAGAGACAGCGCCACGGCCTGCAAGTCGCAGCTTTATTTTATAGTCAGAGCACACAAAGCAAAACAAGGGTAGTGGTCAACATGTTTGCAATGTTCTTGTGAGTTTCACCTTATTTTGGCAGCACTTGCTGCACTTCCCACAGTCCATTAGCCACCTAGGAAGGAGCAAGGGAGGACTATAAGGTCAAGCTTAATTATGCTAAGAGGGCTCTGCCCTCCAAGCTGGGACTTGTTTGTGGCCCTGCCACAGGTCAGTCTGAGGCTTAACCCTATAGCCACTCCCTACAGTTGTACACCAAATATTACCAATAATAGTCTCCTTCCAGACATACAGTTGTTATTCCAGAAAACTATTTCTGTGTAAACACAAAGCAAAACAAACAAACAAACAAAACCACTCCGAACTTAGCGTCATAAAATTACTATTTTATTATGCTCATGGGTTTTGCAGGTCCAGAATTAGGCAAGACACAGCAGGGATGGCTTCGTGTCTCTGCCACAAATGCAAGGGCCCTCCGCTGGGGAAACTGGAATGGCTGGGGCTGTTTCCAATGACCAGGAGCTGGAATCGCCTGGAGGCTCCCTCACTCATAGCTGTGGGGTGGGACTGTCCCTGGGAGCAGAGCACCCACACATGGCCTTTCCATTCCCTTTGGGCTTCTCACAGAATGGCCGCGGATTCTGAGGGACCCTCCCGGGAGAAGCTTTGGGAGAGTGAGCATTGTCAGAGAACCAGGCTGCATGGCCTTTTCCGGCCTGGCTTCAGCCCTTATGGGCATCGGTAACGTTCGATTCTACTGATGACAGAATCACGAGGGACAGGGAAATTAG